GAACACCACAGCCGATGACTATAAAGCCACCGAAGACGCCCAGCTCCCCATCAAGTCCAAAGGCGAGCCCAAAAGCCGCAGCTGCGAAGGCCGCACATGATGTCCCCTAGAGTCCAGAGTATCACAGGCGGACGGGAACCAGCCAGGCGGTATCTCGTGGAAAAAGGGTATCACTAGAGCACTTCATGGAAAGTGGGGATTGCGTTTGCCCATAAAGTCCCTGTTTGTTGACACGTGCACAGTTTTTGGAGCTAGTAGATTGTTTCAGATTGGTGGAGCAGGACAAAACCGCTGGCCTAGGCGTCACTTGGAGCTTGTCCTGCATGAGAGGGGGGTTCCTTGACAAGGGTTTGCTCATCCTGGCTCTTTCTCATCTCCATCGAACTCGTACAGGGTTTGTATGGGTGGGTGACCTGGCCTCCTGCTATACTTGCCGAACCAAGATGCTATTGGCTTGTGTCTTATTATGTCGATCTTCTGCTGGTGGACTTCTGCAGAGTTTTTGTTGCGCTGGGTGTTGCACTTAGTTTAGCTCATGTTGATCTGTTTGTTGCGCTCGGTGCTATGTGATGCCTACTCTTGGTTTTCTGCGTCAAGTTGTCAGTCTTTCTTCGGCCTTGCTCCTCCTTCTTTGTTACTGTTAGCTTGTTTGCTTTAAGAACTTTAAGCTGTTTGAGTACGGTGTCATTTCCACCTCAGAACGAACGCAAGACGGCGTAGCATGGTTCTTGTTCGAATTGTGTCCTTCGGCTTCGGCTTCCTGGTTGGAAGTTTGGTTCAAGCTCAGACGTGGCGATGAGACCGTGAGGCTAAGCGAGCCAGGGGAGAAGAAGAGGAGGACAACGAGGATAATGCCACCTTCCTCCTCCTGTTGGTGGCTTAGCAAAATCTCCGGCGTAGATGTTTCATCAGTAAAGAATAAGACGTTTTACAACAGCAGGATGGCGGGGTGACGGAGGTAGGCTGAGCAGGCAATTTCAAGCTTTCAAGCATCTTCAAGCACAAGCCGGAGGGACAGAACCGAATATCAGGATGTGATTCCTGCCTTCGTGATCTTCGTCAGTGCGATTGTCGCCGGCCTCAGCGCGGATATCGAGCCCGACGCAGAGGCGGAGATTCGCCGACTGCCTGCTGCTGTTTTAGGCCGGGCGCTAAAGAATATCCCTGCCCCACTGCAGCTCTGTCGAGGTGTGGAGAATATTCGAGATCACCTTCACCATCTTCTTCATAGGCGAGGTACTCGTCAAGATGCGGGTTTTTGGGTTTCGACAGCACCTCGGAGAGAACAGTCTTGGTCAACCCTCTTCCTTAAGTCCTATGAGTTTCCTGCCCACCAATCGCCGTTTTTGCGAATCTCAGATTTCTTTTTGGCCCCGATTGGTATTGGAGTTGGTTCGACATTGTTTGCATCCTCGTCGCAATATTTGACTTGTCGCTCACGTACATCAGCTTTGCCTTGGGCATCAATCTTGATGCAGGCCCGGTGGTCCAAAGTCTTTGCGGCTCGATGTTGTTCTAGTAGTCGGTTCTTCTGCCGCAAGATGTGGTGCATTTTTTTCTTCTGACCAGGGCCCGTGAGCTCACTGAAGAGCTTGAAATTGGCCCGGCTTGGTCGGATCATTCGGCTGCTGAAGTTCAAGATTTTTCAGGAGCTGAAGCTGATGATCCAGGGCGTCTTCACCGGCCTCAGGGTCCTATTCTGGGCGGTGGTGCTCCTGTTCCTCTGCATGTATCTCTTGGGCATCGTCACAACAACCTTATTCAAAGAGTTTGCCGAGTTCAGCTCGGTCCCTGCAGCGATGTTCACATGGTTTCGGTGTTTCACGGATGGCTGCGCTGCATACGATGGCACACCTCTTCAGGAAAAACTGCGGCATGCCTCCTGGCTGGTCCTGGCTAATGCGGCTAATAGTTGCATGACATTGTTGTCCTTTGGGGCCAGTATGTCAGTACCTGTACCTGCTTTATGGATGCATCTCTTGCATCGCCCAAGCACTGGTCGCAGGAGTTTGGCGGGATCTTCATGGTGGTTTACATCCTGCTCTTCCTCTTCGTCACAATCGGAATCTTCAATTTGATTATGGAGCCTTGGCTGCCTTGGAGCTTTGCACCTGCCTGGGCCGGGCCCATCGATGGGCCCAAAAGTCAGGCTGTCTTTATCGACAATGTTGCCGACGGCAGCACGAAGAAGCGCCAGCGACAGCTTGGCCAAAACGCCGCAAAGACGGAGATGCTTGCCTGTCATTGGCAAACTTAATTTTGAGTGACGCCTTGTTGCCTGGACACCCTTGCAGGACTTGAGCTTCAAAAGACACCTGCTTGACTCGCCTTTGTGGCCGCCTGAGGTGGATGATCGCCTCCGTCCTCAGATGCTGGGCCTTCACAGGGTCTCAATTTTATAGATCTCTGACCGTTTCCCGGGGGCGCTAAACCCTTTCATCCCATTCCTTCTGGTATTTCGGATCCTGGTGCCTTCTAGCCTTCTAGATTCTAGTGGGCTTGTCACGTGAAGCCCGGTTTTAGTTCATGTTTCGAACTTTGACCTACCGAGCATATTGCGTTCGAAGGGGCTCGATTCCTGAAGTGGGCCGGGCCAGGAGAGATAGGGGTGCAAGCTCCTTGGTCTGTCCGGGTCGCAGGCATGAGATGAGCCCTTTGCAAGCTTTTTTTGGATTCCCTTGAGAACACCACGACGTGACCCCTCCAAATGCTCTTTCTTTGGACTTGTCAGCAGCCCCCTTGTCTTGGTCAGGGGTCCTTGTGACGTGGTGCATCTCAGGACGGATAATCCTGACGAAGATATTGCGCAAGGATTTGGTCGCTCGGCAGCGTGCGGGCAGTGCCAGGATATGCCACTTCCTGTTGATGTTGATGAGCCTGAAGTCCAGACCTGAGGAAGAGCAGATGGCTGAGGGTCCAGGGCACTCGGAGGGCCGTCGGGTATCCAAGTTGCTAGACCAGCAGATCTTGCAGTTGCAAGAGATGCACCTCGGATGCAGGGTCCAGGGGTTGATGTTGCCAGGTTCTCAGTCATGAGGGGATGCTGAACATGGCCTGTGCTATAAAAGGTATGGCTTCAAGCCGCACTCATCGCAAGAGTATGAGCAGCTCACTGCAACCTGGCTGTCCATAGCCCATGGTTTGTGAACCTTGCGGGCCTGTAATTAGTGAGGGTGGTGTCCCTGTTGTCTATGTTGGGCCTTCGCAACAACGATGCACTACACACCCATGTTTCCTCAGGATGAAATTCGCGAGCAGATGGCAGAACGAAGCGTGGTGGTGACAAGAGACGAGTTCAACCATTGGTTATCTACAGACAAAGAGCTTATTGCTCGGCTGGACGAATCTGAAATTGACCTGTCTTGTAAGTCAGACCTTTTTGATGTCTTAGATGCAGATCTGAGCGGGGAGTTGGAGTTCGAGGAGATGGTTGATGGATTGCTTAAGTGCCGTGGGCCGGCATCCAAGACAGACATCATCGCAGTCAGGCTGAAGACAGCATTTCTCGTGCGACTGGTTCTTAAGATTTGTGAAAGGCTTGGGATTGAAGATCCATAAGCTTGTTACGAAGCTTTGTCTCCCAAGAGGCAGGCCCCATGCATTCCCAAACCGCCTGCAAAGCAGGCTCTCTGAATTCGATCTGTTTTTAGGCTTTAGACTCGGCATGGCATAGCTGCACATCGACGCGCGAGTGGGTAGACTAGAGATCGGGACCCGTCACGACGATTCAACATCACATGCCTTAACAAGTTTCATCGGATTAACGAACCGAAGACGAGCCTCCCACCAGGCAATACTGGTAGATTTTAAAGAGCCCGACAATTTGTGCCGGCACAGGTTGCATGTACGACAGCATATTACTTCAGGATCGGGTTGGATATGAAGGTGGGAGACGGACAAAGCCCCACTGCCTCCTGAATCCCAGCTCTCCCTGAACTAGCTTTGCTCTCTGCTGGCCTAAACAAAGGGTACAACAGTTAAAGGCCAAGGCTCTTTTCGTTGTGCGTGGACGCTCGCCGAGTGAGATGAGCCAAGTGCTAACTTGCACGGCCACCAGACGGAGCCAACAGATCAGCCCATCTTACACACACTTGAGGCATTGCTACGTACTAAGTACTAATGACTAAGTCGTGGGCGGCTGAAACATGTTCCAGCTTTTCTCTCTAGAAGCTGTGGCTCCCTTGAGTTTCTGCTATATAGATTCCTGGATGTAAACCAGCCTCCAGAACGGTGTGGATGCAAAGTACCGGTCGCTCTTGTGCACTCATTCATGGTAGTTGCCGACTTGGGGAGTGCCATTTTGGAGGATTGCATGAGCAGTATCAACTGCAGGTCCAGAGGGCCATCTGATGTCATGTTGTACCAAAGCAAACACACGGCGTGTGAGCAACTCGTGTGGCACACGCGCGAGTGATCATGGGTGCATATGTGCAGTACTCACAAAGGTTTTGGCCCATTGCATGCAAGCGGGCGACCGGCTGTCAACGGTACAACTGCCGTGATGTACAGCGGTTTACGACCTACTTCATGCTGCTGCCCTGCCCTGCCGAAAACGTGCGACGGTTGAGAGTGAGTCATTTTCAAGATAGAGAACCCATTCGTCAGCATCTGTCCCAGGATCCGGTAGCGGGAGTCTTGCCCAGGTAGCAGAAAGTTGTTGTTAATGCTGCTGCTGAGTGAGATGAGGCCCGAGTTTTAAAATGCCTGCAAAGGCTTTGTGCTGCAAGTGCAGGGGCGAGAGTTAACAATTGACTCGATGGTGTGATTTGCCTCACAAACACTTGTAGAAGTTCCTCCGCCACTGTTTTGTGGCGTTGCGAGCTACGACTAAGACACTGTCATGAGCTGCTAACTGGGCTCCTTGACTCAGCATGCGAACCTGCAACGTCGGCATCTGTGGTACGTTGAAAGCTATAAGTGCCTTCCTGGAGAGCCTTGGCATGTCATCCTCCAGCGCCGTGGCTGCATCAAGCATGCATCGGCACAAGCTGTGAGCTAAGGCATGCACTGGCTTGTTTTGCGGACGCTCTGTCTCGCAAGATGCGCCCTGATGTCATCACAGTCAGTGCTGCAATCAGCGCCTGCGAGAAATCCGCGGAGAGTCTTGGCCGCAGACCATTGAATTGGAACCGGGATTGGAGCGGAATGGAGCTGCTTGCGTCAAGGTGGCAGCAGGCGTACGAGTTGTTTGGCGGTTTGCAGCGGCTGTGGCTTCAGCCAAATGTGGTGGCTGCTGGAGCAGTCATCAGTGCCCTCGAGAAAGGCCGGGAAAGTCTCGTAAATGGCCAAAGGCAACAGTATCGCAAGGGCCGCCGGAGCCAGGGGGCGAGTGGCAGAGAGCTCTACATCTGCTGATGGAAAGCTGGAGCAGCGGGGTGCAGGCCCGGCCATGTTGGGCCGTGCGTCCGCAGTGGCCCAACTCTTGCGACGGTACGGCTCGAGGTCAACACTGTGGTCCTGAATGCAGCAGTGAGTGCATGTGTCACAGCTGCAACGGGGCATCATGGCTATTGCACGGGAAGAGTCCGGAAAAGCCAAGGTGAAAAACGTGGGCAGTGGCAGATGGCATTGCACGTGCGGCTTGGACCGCGGGAGGATGAACATCTCCGTAAGGCATTTCTTCTGATTGCGTTGCCTTTCCATTGAAGTGGCTGAGGCTGTGCTATTCCGTTGGCAACGGGATCGAAGCGGATGTTATCTCTTACAGTGCGGCCATCAGCGCCTGTGAAGACCCGTCGTCGATAATGTTGTTCGGCTGGTTCTAGCAGTGCCGAGTGCAACGAGCTAGGCATACAACTGCTGGCTGGTTGGTTCAAGCACCCTCTCGCGTAAGTGGCCGTGTACTGCTGACTAGTTGGCCAATTTCAACCGTATATCTTTGTAGTTGGTGCTGTGGAGATGGAGCCACTGGCAGCGTCTCCTAGGCTTTAAGGGCAAGCGTGCAGATTTTTCGGGCTCATGCGCAGGAAGAAGCTCAGTGGCAAGCTGCACTGCAGCTGCTGCAAGACTTGAGAAGCAGCCGCTCACCTCCAAAGAAAAGGTTAACCGGGGCCAGGCAAGCTTTGTGTCGTAGCATCGCTGGAAATTATACCAGAATATTCGAGATGTGCTTGAGGATGCCGTCTGTTGCTGTTGATGGAAGGTTTCCCGAGAGGCAAAGAATTTGCCAGTCAAATACTTTGCCGAACTGCATGGAGATCAGCGGAGCGAAATGCCATGCAAGGAACGGTCATGCAAAGATGTGCGGCTGATGAGCTCAAAAGATAGATGATCCCTCTAGGACGCTGCTCGAGGTTTAGGGCGCAGCTGTCATCATTTCACTTTCGAGCGAATTACTACGTAAGCACTCGGCCTACCGAGATTCAAGACACTGAAGTCCCTCCAAAATTCGAGCAAGCGCCGTTCTGTTGCTGAGAGGGTGTTCTCGTATCAAATTGCAGATCAATCACCTTGGTAGTACTTCAAACTGGCTGCCGAACTGGCGAGGCGTCTCTTTTGCACCTGACATTGCACTTGAAAGCAATGTGGTATGCCGGCGGGCACAGCATAACTGTCACTGGTACGTGCTAGTAGCATAAAGTCGGCTTCTGGGCTCATCCTGATGGTGTGCAGCAGTCCTAGATTCGATTCACTAGATCCTCTGCTCCGGCTTGAACCTGCTAGTCTTCGGCGGGCATGCTGCACAGCGATCAGGCCAAGTAATCAAGTTTTTGGTGCAGAGTCGTTTCAGGCTATTTGGTGGCGAACGTGGTGGCACTGACCGCAGCGATTAGCGCTTGTACTAAAGGCAGGAACTGGCAAAGTGCCATTGCTTTGCTACTCGTCCCAGGAATGTGTTGCATCAGAACGGAAGCAGAATAGCGATGTTGAGTGATCCCTACATTTGCATGCCTCTGTTTCTGCACGCCTGCATGCACGAGAAGAATCCGGTCGTCGAGTTGTCGAAAACTGCTGAGCCATGAGGTTTGCCGAACTCCGTGCAGCAGCACTGCAGCCTAACATTGCCAGCTATGATGCCGTTCTTCTAGCATTGGACGAGTCTGCGCGCTTCGAGGAGGTGCAGCTGCTTGCTGACAAGTCGTCAAACCGATTCTGCAAGCCATGAAGATTGGAGATGGCAACAGATAAATTTGCTTTGGTCATGCTTCAGAGACTTGCCAGAGGCGCTCTCGCTTTTTGAAGAGTTGAAGACGGTCTCCATCGAACCACGGCAAGAAAGGTTTGCTTAGATTCTGCAAGTTGTGGGATTGTCAAGTTGACCTGCAGTGCAATCGCTGTAGGCCCTGGCTGAGGCGTTCCTCTACTTGAAAGGGCGGGGTGTTTAGTA